ATCACTTTCTGTGCTAAGTTACAGCTAACTGTTGTAGTGTTTTTTTTTTTTTTAAACTGTTGTAGTGTGCTGAGGGAAGCTGAGCCATTGCATTGATTCCAACCCGATTTGTTCTCATTCAGGAAATAAACTGCCTGTTCACCCAGAAACTCCTGGTCTTCATTAAAAACATCTACACAACGCAGAGTCGAGGGGTTACTTGGGTCAGCCTGGTACAGTGGAGTGAAGCAGAACCCGGTTTCATATGTACACTGCTAATTGTGGTGTTTGTGTATCTTTTTCAAGGACATTAAGGGTTTTGACATGATGTCAGTCTCTCAAAGCGCTGACTGTCTATCTGACAAAGGTGTTATTATGAGCTCTAAATATTAAGCAGTTTATAAGTAAAACCTAACGTTCAGGCTTTTACATTTAAAGTAAGAATGGTATGTTTTAATTCACAACAATACAATACAAAAATGCAAATATCAAGATACAAATATGGTGTAACTCATGGAAGTCTGCTCTTTTCACTCCTGAATTGAACCATATAAAATTATATCCCTAATGTTGCTGGGCAGAACAAATGGAGGAGTCAAGTTTATCTGGGCTGCTGTTACTCTCGGGAGCCTCTTGGTGGCGCCACTTTGCATGAGCACAGATTTCTAAATTAATGTGATTAGTTATTTATTAGGTGTAGTTACCCTCTAAATTTCATATTTTTATGTTGCTTATGTTACATACAGCACTTTATAAGTTTTAAAGAGCCAGAATAAATATTTTGCAGCGTGTTTTACATGCAATATGTTCTAAAATGAAATGACATTTTATTCCTAAAAAGTAGCTATCTTTCTATTTTGAGAAGAATAGAAAGATAGATTTTGCATCCAAAAAATATTTGCAGCGCTTCACTTTTGCCACATTTTGTTACAATATACGAGACAATCTCTTTTCTACAGTAAGGGTTAGTTACATTTAATAATTATAATAAAAAAGCTGTTTGTTTTGTCAATGAAAGATGAAAACAGTTTAAAAACCTGGTAAAAGAAAAAAGGAACATTTCCACAGTTCTCTGCAAAGGAATTCACACCCTTTGAACTTTATCACATTTTATGCAGAATAGCAAAGGGTGTACTTTATTTCTTTCCTGAATATAACTGTGATTAAAAAACATGCACACCACTGCAAAGTCCAGTTTGATGCTGCTTTAAATTACAACATACCAAATTTATGAACAAACCCTGATTAGCCATAACAATCAGCCACCAATTAAGATAATTACACCAGAAATTTAAATTAATAAACAAAGAATTCTTCTAATTTCTGCATATGACACCAGCTTTATTCATAAATCTATCCAATAAATACTGACTAATCTTTGCAACTTCCTCTTCCATGTTGCTCAGAATATAAAAGATTTTACTGCTTTGCAGCAAAGGGTTAACGTCACTACGAGTCTTGCTTGAGGAAGTGTTGGGATAAAAAGTTTAAAGTCCATTTCCTGTTGTCTGAGCAAAGTGTCACAGCATGAGAGAAAAATTAACCCAACTGAGTTCTTGAGAAAGAGACCATTCAGATGTTTGTATGCAGGTGAAATGTCATAGAAGAAATCTGAGGTGTGTGCTTAAGGAAACAAACATCTGAGAGATTTTATGAATTTACCAGAGAGAACAATAAAATCAGGAAAATCTTAGTCTGTGCATTTGAAAATAAAATATCAGTTTGTGCTGTTATAGTCAATAATACCAGGAAGGGAATGGCAATTAATATTTAACAAGATCTACCAGAACTACATTATAAATAAAATCAGTTAAATGGAGCCCGCTTGACAGCACGAAGTAGACGAATAGGATCAAGACATAGTTTTCTTTAGATCAAAGGAAAATCAAGGCAGATAAGAACCAAAGTCATTAATATCCATAAATGATATAAAACACTCCAGTGAATCACAGTGAGCGCTCCGTCCACAAATAGAGAAAACATCAAACACTGAAAGCTTCTCAGGTCGGCTCACTGAAACATTTAAAGGTGGTTTAACTCGAAAATGAAAGTCCACCTGCTGCCTGGAGAATGCAGTTAAAGTCAACAAGAAAATTGTTTTGATTTTAACTCAGAAATTAAAGTTTATTAAGTTTATTTAGCAACAGGAAACAGGTTGTCTAAACATTGTTTTTTAAGTTAATTTAACTAGATTTCTGAGTTTTAACCTCGGCTCCTGAATCATTTCTCTCATCTGAGTGAGACAGTTCAGGTCAACTGGTGTCCGCACCCATCAGTAGTTGCTTAGATCTATAAGTTGATTTCCTGCCCAGCAATAGTAATCGCGTCATCACTTGACTGCTGCTGGAACTGCATGCTGCCTCACCTTCATGACAGGTACAAGGCGTGAATTTGTCTCAGTCAAGAAAATGATTAACTCTGACGAATGGGAACACTACTGAGTTTTTCTTACTGTCCTGCATTTTACAGCCGTTTAGTGCTGTTCTTCTGTGGGGAGCTGGATTAACAAGGATAAACTGTTCATTTTATTCCACATCTTCACCTAAAATAACATGATGCCTTCTTTGTACATTTTAAATTCGCTCTCAGGGATAAACAAAAAGTGATTAGAAAACATATACTGCTTATTTACATTACCAGTATTTCTGTTTATGGAAAGTTTAGTTTACATAACAAACACTAAACTGTGTATAAATAAAACAAGGTAGGATAAAAATATCTGATCTTTCTTTAAAACAGGTAGATGCAGATGGGACTGACTAAATTCTCTGTAATCTTTAGGTTTAAACCACAGATATGCTCAATCTGGAGTCACAATCTGTGAGTTAAAAGGTTAAATAATTTTTACAGAACAGAGTCTTCAGTTCTCTTCTCTGTTTAATTTGATCTTGGCTCATATCTGAACATTTCCTGCTTCCTCTGTCCATTTTTCAGAGTTTTTTTTGTTTTCGCCTGATCTTAGATCCCTGATATTCTAGAAAACCTGAAAATTTTTTTTGATTTCCTGGGAAATCTACGACTCTTGCAACACTTGATGTCTCAATTTCCTCATTCTGTTAAATTGGTACATATTTTATATGGTGTTTAAGATTATTACCAAAATCAAAACTCATTTAACTGCAACTTCTTTCATTTACTATTTTAATCAGATTCATAGTTGCTCACGTCTGAAATGAGATAAAGTTGATACATGTCTATTAACTCAGTTACTCAAAGAGATTCTATTTTGTTTTTAAATGATTTTATGTGTAGAAATAAGAAATGATTACTCATATTTTTGGTTATTTTCTGTCAGGAAACTGAACTTGCTTCCTTATTTTGCAATCTGTAGTTTCTCATTTGTGGTTTTGTGACCTTTTGGCTGCTTCCCTCTTTGCATCGCAATAAAATTACGGTGCACATCGTTGCAACATCTCAACATTCCTTTTATGCCATAACCACATCTTATTTTTATTATTAGATACATAAAGAAAATTACTAAAACAATGTTTACATAAGCACAACTTCATTGATTGCACTGAAGTCTTGTTTTACTGTTAGATCTAAATGTTTCTTTGTACTATTAATTTTAGATGTTGAAATTGACTGAATCAAAATATAAAATTTAACTGGACATATCATAGGTATTTTTAAAAGTTTGAACTTTTTGTAATTTGAAACATAAACATATGAAAGAGATTTTTCCTGGTATTTTCTTGTGAAACTTCCATGGAAATAAATCAGAAGGTTACAATTTAACAAGCAGCTATGACTGTTTTTTATCAACCTTTATGAGTGCATGTCATGCTTTGTTTGTGTAAAAAACTCGTCACAGTTATGAGCTGGTCAAACAATGTGTCACTATCTCTGTCAGAAAGACTCCGCCCTTCTGCAGAAAACCATCATAGATTCAGGGACGCTTCAGAAACATTTCAGGACATCCGCCACATCCCAGGTAAAAACTGCTTTTCCCTACTTCTCTTTACACTCTTACTGATGAAAACATATTTCACAATTTAAGAATAATGTTTGAACTTAAGCTAAAATAAAAAGTTTTAATTCATTCTGTTGTTAAATAAAATCAAGTGAGGAGAAACCCAGAAGAGAAGATACCTTAAGGGCAGCACTGCGTTTTGAATTTAATGTTAAAATCTGCCATCGTAACAAAAAACATCCTTTTTTTACTCATTTAAATACATTTAAGAAATTGTTAATAATGTTAAAACTAATTCATCAAAAGTTACAATTCTTTGAGATTTTCACAAAGAATAATTTTACCAGTTTTTTGTCAATTTTGTGCTGAAGTTTACTGCATTTTTAAATGTAGAAAAAAAAAGAGAGAAAATAAGAAAGATGCAACACAGTTCTGCCGGCGTCCTGTATATTTTTCTAATTTTCAGCTACTTGTATCTTTAAAATCACTTAAAACAAACAAGTTTTAATTTTGATGGATTCATGAGTAAGTAAATAGAAAAAAAGGTGCTGAATATCGTTTAAAAAGTCTGACCACAATGACGAAAGATCTGAAAAATATAATATTGTCATGAACTGCGGTGTGAGGCAGACTCAGTGGACCCAGGTTTCGGAAATGAAATGATGATACCGAAAGTACAAAGTCCAACAATCCAGGCAGCTGAGCGAGAGCAGAAGGCTGAAAAACTGGTGGCAACTGGAAACTGAATGGACGGCAAGTTGGACAGGACAGAATAGACAAGGACCCGAGAAAGACACAGAGACACAGTTGACATTAAATATACAGAAGGTAATCAGGCAGCGAGACACACCTGGGAACAGGAGACTCAAAAGACACAGAAACCCAAACACAGAAAACTCAAATCATGACAAAAATTTCTGCTAAAAACTCCTTGAATCTTGATCAAAGTTCAGAATTAAAAAAAAAGAGTATAAAGCATCAAAACCAGCTCAAATATCACATTTTTGATGCAAATTGTGTAAGGTTTCCTTTTTTTTTGTCACCTAATATAAAAATGTTGCTTTTGGAGAAGGTGTTAAACTTCAGACTTTCTGTTTTCCTGCAGATTTTGCAGTGATGTCCGGCTTGGCTGTGCTGTGTTTGCTGCTTCTGCAGACTGGCGCTCATGGTTTTGGTATTCTTCGTAACGGAGAGTCTCTGACCCACGAAGCCATCACAGAGAGAGCCGTCCTAAACGTCACAGTGCAGGTGTGCCGCAGCCTGGCTCAGTCTGAGGGCAGGGATTTCACTTTTCCTGTAAGAATCAAACCAACTCGCCACGTCTTTTCATCCCATTTTCAACCCAATCAGGTTCTGTTTGAATAAAACACAGTGTGTATGTCTGTGCAGCGTCAGCCTTTCACTGCTTCATCTGTTGCTGCTGCCTGCGGAGCATCAAAATCCTTAAAAAGTTTCATCGAAACCATCCAGCGGATTCAGAGGAAGAACATTCAAACGGACATTATATATGGCCTGAGCGCTCGTCGTCACTGTGACAATGAGGAGCTGGACGAAGGGAAGAAGATAGTCACAGACGGTTTATCGGTCATCAAGGCCTCCAATAAGCAGCAGAACTTTGTTTCAGCCGTGGAAAATCTTGGAAGGATTTTACACACTTTACAGGTATTTCTGAATGGTTTCCGATTCAAATTCACAGCAGAAGAAAGCGTCACAAAATGAACATTTTAAAGTGCTTCTAATAAGTGGTTTGTGAATCAATTCTGTATTTCTGAATTCAATTCAACATCAAAGATGAAAGCTGTAATTTTGCCTCTTGTTTCTTTGAAAATTAAGGATTTCTACAGTCACAGCAACTGGATGGAAATAGGCCACAGATCCCCAAATAGCAATTTGATCAAAGCGAACGTCCGTGTTGGAAACGTAGCAGGTAAAGACATAATGATACTGACTTTAATGTGTGTTTGATAACAATTTTGTTTTTTCATTAATTTCTGCTCCAATCTGAATCTGCAGCTAAAACCAGAGCAACCTGTCAAAGCTGTAATGGAGACGACTGCAGAAACAACATTCGGAGCGACATTCTGCGAAACAACATCCTCACTTCAGGATATTTCAGTCTGGTTAATCCTTTTTCTAAGCCCTCAGGTAGAAATATTTTCATGGGTTGATTTTTTTTAGCTGACACTTTTTGTCATTTCTCTGACTTTACACTGTGATGGTGCTGCATATATTTGGTCTGATCTGATTTTTTACCAGGTCTTAAACTTTGAGAAAACACAGAAAATTCTTCATTTATTAAACTTAGAAGATTAAGAAGAATATTTGGTTGCCATAATTATTTGGTGCCTTTAAAATAAACTATCATTTAACCAAATATTTTATTTGATTAATCTGATAATAATACCAGCTGCATTATTGCTCCAAAAATAATATATGATCATTTTGTCATTTTTAGTTGAACAATGTGTGATATTTCTCTATTACCGTATTTTTTGGACTATAAGCTGCTACTTTTTCTTCCCACACGTTGAACCATGCGGCTCATAGCCAGGTGTGGCTTTTCTGTGGATTTTTCTTCAACCACCAGGGGGGGCTCTTTAGCAGGAAGTGAATATTTGGAAATCAAAATTGGAATTCAAAGAAGAAATTACTGATTTTTATTTAAATCAAGCAAATGCTAGCAGCAGGCACAATGGAAAAATTTCTGCACAATGTTCTCCAAAATCAATATTATCATAAAAGAGTGAGCTTAGTTTTCTCGTAGCAACAAGATCTAACATTGCATGAAAATTCAAATACTACATATAACATTGAAGGAGCAGAAATTCCTCAAAACTTTGAGAATATTTTTAGGAGCTTTTGCTGCCTGATGTCTCATTGGACTTTCTTTTCTGCTTTTTTTTGACACCTGTACATTTCTAAAACCATTTCAGACTGGTTCAATCATTTGTGCTCTATGATGACAAACAGGAAAATGCAGCCATGGCGGTGGACTGGACAGTACAAGTTTAATGGAACCGAAAGGTGGAATCAGCAAAGATACGCTGGACTCCAGTCATGGACACCTCCACTCTCAAGCAGCCAACATGGCGATAGCAGCAACCAGTGAGCTGCTGGAGGACGTTCGCAGTGCAGCTGGGGACAATGCTTTCCTTGAGTAATAAATTCAGTATTTCTTGCTGAAATTATGCCATTGTATAATTCATAAAACTGACTTTTGTCTATCTTTGTTTGTCATTCCTTAGGATGATGGGGCTGTTCAAAGGGAAACCGTTGTGTTTTGTGGTCGACACAACAGGAAGCATGGGGGATGACATCGCTGCAGTGAAAGAGGTCACAGCCTCCATAATAGACAGCAAGCTGGGAACACCGGATGAGCCGTCGATTTATGTTCTGGTTCCCTTCAGTGATCCAGGTACAATCTTAGCCAGCGTTTCTTAAATCGTGTCAGGACCAATTAACTTGAAATTGCCCAACAATAAACTAACAGTCTCTTGCATTAATAGTCTCTTGACACACAGCTGTTTTCTTTGTTGTTTGCTGTTTGGTAAATGTGACTCGGACATTTAAACACAATCCTTTGGTTAGCGAGCATCACACTTTCACATCACGTAACGTCACAGCAAATAAACGGCCGTTTACATGCAGTACCTTGCAGAAAGACTGTTCTGCACCCTCTGTCATTCGGTTTAAGCTCTAAGAGGGACAACAGAAAATGTCTTTGTTTTTCATCAAATGTGCAGAGTTTGGGCCACTGATTCGGACAACAGATCCAGAAATCTTTAAGGGCTACATCAACTCTCTGAAAGCAGCTGGAGGTGGAGATACTCCAGAACTGAGTCTTTCTGGACTTCAGGTGCTTTGTTTGATGCTGCAAAATTGCTAACATATGAAAAGCAAATACTAAAGCATTCTTCTGTTTCTTCATACAGCTAGCTCTGACTGGCGCGCCTCCCAATTCTGAGATCTTTGTTTTTACCGATGCTCCGGCCAAAGACAAACACCTGAGAAACCCGGTGATCGCTCTCATTGAGCAGACCAAATCTGTGGTGAGTAATTCTGCAGAAGCAGTGCAGATTCTATTGATCCAGTCAAAAATAATCAATGTGAAAGATATGAAAAGAAGATGGCATTGGCCCAGTTGTTATCACTGTTACCAAACAGATTCAGTGTTCTCATAAACATCTTTGTGAAACTTCAGTAAAGGGCAATTTCACCAATTTTTTCACTACCGTCAGCATCTTTTATGAGAGAAAGCAAAATAATGGACATTTCAGAGAAGGAGGACTGAAATAGTCCTTTATTGAAGTTTCACAATTAAAATAAAGGTTTCACAAATAACAAACTGGGTTTTAAATATTCTGCTATTAGTTGAGAATAATCTAATCCAGGTTTGAAGAGTCTAGTTGTTGTAGGTTTTTAGCGAGAGTAGATAAAAGATGCAAATGTAGGAAAAATTTGGTGGCCATTTTCTGAATCGGAATCTGCAATCGGAAACCAACTTCAGCTTCGTCACATTTTGGTTTGTAAAAAGTCTCAACATTTCCGGGTTTATTGGTTCCCTCATTTTGTTTCAGGTGAACTTCATGATAACTAATGTTCTTGGGATCCGTCAACAAACACCAGGAGAGGGCAACCAGCAACAAAGCTACCGCATGGCCAGAGCAGACGGCCAGCTGTACAAAGACCTGGCTCAGACCTCAGGAGGTCAGGCTGTCAAAGTCTCCAAAAGTAATCTGCTGGAGGCCATCGACATCCTGACTGAGTCCACCAGCTCCTCTCTGGTACGAAGACAAATTAAGACTAACTTGTTTTATTTTCACGTTTAAAGATTTCACCTGCTGAGTTATCCTCAATTTTTCAGGTGACCCTCCTGCAAGCTTCCAGGAACCCTGGAAAAACTGAAAACTTTACCTTTTCAGTTGATGAGTCAGTGAGAAATTTGACGATTTACGTCACTGGAAGTAACGTTGAGTTTACGCTCATCGATCCCTCAGGTCGGTGTCAAAACATTTCATAAGTTGTGCCAACTTCAGTTGCTTTGTTTAACTAGTTTCTATAATTTCTTTGTGTAGGTGTGGTTCAAAACAATGTGGCTACATCAGGATCTTCAGTCATTTCCTCCCAGACGGTTGGAAACCTCCACACCGTGAAGTTGCTGACGCTAGCAGGAGTTTGGGAAATAGGAATAGTGTCAAAAAATTCCTACAGTCTGAAAGTTGTAGGTAAGACTCTGATTTTAACCGTTAAATGAAAATGGTTAAATAAAAAGGTTAGATAACTTAATTCATTGTATTTTTCTGCATTTACAGGAGAGAGCTCCATTGACTTCCTGTTTGACTTCATTGTGGAGTCTGACGGTCCGTTTGGAGGATTTGATGTAATTGACAATCGACCCACAGCTGGTAATGAAAACACAGCTGGGATGCAGTGAAAATTAAGCGGCTTTGGACCAAAAAACGTTTCTTTTCTTCGAAGGAGGAAATGCCAGTCTGCTGGTGACTCTGTTTGGAAGCGACTCTGCCCCGGTGACAGAGGTCACGCTGGTCGAATCGTCGGGTTCTGGTCAGGTCAACGGCACCGTGGAGGCCCAGGGTGGAGGACAATATATCGTCCGCTTCGACAGGATCCCATCGGTTGAGTTTGTTGTGCTTGTGAAGGGCCAGAACAACAACGGCGTCTCCAGAGCTTCTTCAGGGATCTTCCAGAGACAGTCGACCACCAGCCTGAGAGCCTCCGGTCTCACTGTCGCTGTCGTAAGTGATGCAAATAAAGACCAAAACCTTTAAATATTTAAAACAGATCAGTATCTCTGTTCTTGTGTCTTAACTGCTCTCTTTGTATTATTTTTTTAGGATGAGTACGACATCGTGTTGGAGCCAGGAACACTAAAATCAGTTCTTTTCTCTGTGATGACAACCGGCGAAGGAGGACGCTTCTTAATTCAAGCCACCAATGACCAAAACCTCCCGCTGTTTTACCCAACTAATTTAGTCCTGAGTGCTGGAGGTAGTGCCAACGGGACGGTGAACGTCACAGCGCCTGCCGACACGCCGTCCGGCACCGTCATCACTCTGACCGTCGAGGCCGTGGCTCCTGGAGGGACGGACACCAACTATGTTGTGCTGCATCTCACAGTCCTGCCAAAAGTAACGTGTCTCTGGTTTTTCATACATTTGAAGACATCATTGTACGATGAGTGTTAGGGTCATGCTAATAAAAAAATGAATAAAAATTATGACAAAAAAGTGATAAAATTACGAGAATGAAGCTGTGCAAGAAAAACGTCCTGATGTTTTGAGAATAAGGTCATACTATTACTAGAATTTTTCTTTTTTATTTAGCCTGGCCCTCATACTCTGCCACATTATTGAGGGTAAATATTGATATTTTTGCTGTCTCTCTTTTACAGGTGACTGATTTCACTCCACCAGTGTGTAAACAATTCAGCCCGCAGAAGAGATGCTCTAAACACTGCGACCAGTTCATGTGGGAGGTCTCCGTCCAGGTGAGCGACGGCGTTAACGGGACGGGTGTGGACAGCGTCAGTCTCAGAGAAGGCAGCGGCACGATGAACATCACCACAGCAGCGGATAATTCAACCTTAGTGACTTATGCGGCTTCCTGCTGCTCTTCTAAAATGCAGCTGGTGGCTGTGGATCAAGTGGGAAACGTGGAAATCTGTAGTTTCTCTGCTGCATGTTGGTCCTCGAGAGTGGATTACTCAGTTTTACTTTCCTTTGTCTTCACATTCCTGAAAGTTTCCTTGTAGCTCCGGACGGTGATCATCAGAAGTGCCCAACTTATGAACCATGTTGGAAAATCGAATCCTAACTAAATGTCAGCTTCTTTTTTATTTTTTTGCCTTTTCACAGAATTGGACAGAAAATTCCAATTTTTGATTTCTAAACCAATTTCTGTTAAACAAAACAACTATGTCATGTCTGAAGGTGGCACCCATATGAAAATACACCAAGGCGTTCGTCTGAACTTAAAGTTGAGTGTTACAGTTTTTGTTTTATTTTTCTGACGTACAAAACAATTCAGCTGTACATCCAATTAGAAGACCTTCTATAAAAAACACTGAAACCTGACCTTCCTGTACACTTTAAAAAGTCAGGGTTTCCCCCAGGAGATTATAAGTCTGGCGGGCCACCAGGCTTTACTTGTGCAACCACCAGACTTAGCATTGATTATTTATTTAAGTCTTTTTAAAATATATGCAACTTTATAGTTGGTGCTCAGGTCCAATCTTTCACATAATTATCAAGTGATATTTTCAAATTTCCTGTCAACTTTAAACAATATTTTAATCTTCCTACTCTTTTTCAAAACGAACAGTAAACAAATTATTTATTTTTGGTTAAGTATGTCCTACTGATTGTTTTTAAAAACCTGTTTGAAATAAATTAATCAAACTTAAACTTAAAAATGTTAAGCTTAAGTTTTTTTGGAGGTTTTGAGTTGATGAATGTCAATCATTTAATCCTAGAAAAATGGTCAAAACTGTTTACATGAAAAAGCAAAAAAGAAAAAAAAGGTAATTATCTCATCTATGCTAGAAAATATTTGATCCCTGACTCAAACACAATCACACTGTGTTCATATTGTGCAGAGTTTTGGTTTTCATTTGTGTTTCTATCATTTCCTTGTTGCCTTTTCTCTGTTGTTTTGTTCTTACTTTCCTTCATCCTGCCGCTTGGCTCCTTTCCACAGCTGATCCCAGTCACCTGATCTGCTCACCTGATCTGCTCACCTGATCTAATGTTTTCATCCACTCATCCCTCCATATTTAATTTGATTAAGCTGTTTGTTGTTCTTTGCTGGTTTTTCCTCCTATTATGTCTGTTAAATTGCTCGGCTCGCTGCCTGTGGTCCGTCACTTTTTGTTCCTACAACTTCGCCTGTGAATTTTTCTTTTTTGTTTATTATTAAATATGTCCAGTGAAGCTCTGTCTGTCTGTCTGTCTGTCTGTCTGTCTGCCGACGGAAGCGGAAAACAATCAGCCGGCTTCTTGTCAACTGGTCTTAAATATGGACCGGTTTGGTCCATGTTCAACTTATCCGATCATTTCTAGATGATCAGATAAGAGTTTCAACATACCAAGCAGGAGAAATGTGATCTTGTCTTTAACATCAGATATGATAACAACACTAAATTTCCATGATCCTGTTTTCCAATTCAGAAAAAATCTGTATTATTTACAATGAAATAATCAGTTAATATTTTTATTAAAGCTGAAACAAACTATACAAGTGGATTTAGTTCTGGAGAAGTCGGATGTGGAGGTGAACGGTTCAGTCGTTTCAAGTTTTTCTTGCCTCATCACAAATAGATTCATGTTTTTACAAGATGATAAAATGTGAACTTTGCAGAGTTTAAAGAGTTTTAACTCCTGTCAGACTAATGCAGAATGTTTTTCTGTTACATATTGTGAATAAAACACCAGGTGGACTGAACATGTGCATCATATTGCAAATGCATCTCAAATGTCGCTGCAATAATCCTGCTTATTCTCATGCTACACTCCCATTTTTTTGTTTTAATTTAATTAATTCAAATGAAATGTTTTCAATTTAATGTTTTTCCTTAAACTTTCTTAAAACCACATTTCTAAACCTCAGATTTCCTTATTTACAGCAGCAGCAGTGGGGTGTTATTCTTGTAGTTATTGGTTAAGCTTCCAGAAACTTATTTATCCAATATTTTAATTATGTAGCAAAGTGAACTTTGGCCTCTTAAGAAACCAAAAGTGAACATGCATGAATCTTGCTCAGTGGCTTTTGCATCCTGTTTCTAAAGGGACCTGCCAGGCATGAAAATATGAAAAGATTGCAGATAATCGAGCTGTGGTTTGAATAATGATTAAAAACGAAAGTAAAGAATGTTGTTGCAGTTTTTTCCTTCCTTCTCCTTAGCAGAACATAAATCCAAAACTTTTGTCTGATTTAATTTAATTCACTATAGCAGCAAATTTTAAGTAAGCATTAAATTTCCATGTCAGTATAAAATAGAAATCCCAAAGTGCAGACATGACGTTTGCATAATGGTGCGATCAGAAGCAGCAGGACAAGTCCAGTAAGACTCCGCCTTGAAACTGACTCTGATAAGGTCAGTGTTGACAAAATCACAAAGTTTGCTGAACAGCAACAAGGTGAGTCGGTGTTTCCTTTCACTCCTATGAAAGGGATCCAACATGAAAGCTAGAATTGGGATGAATTTCAGACTTTCCAAGATTAATATTTTATGATTTGGTAAAGCTTTTAATCATCACGTCCAATAAATACTTTAATGGTTTCAAAATGGCTTTTTCAAAGTGATTTAAAATGTTTCGTTTAGGTTTTTAAAGCTGCACTTGATGGTACCAAAGGAACTGAATCTGTTCATAATCCTGGTAAGTATGCGGGAGACAAAGTTTATGCTTAAAGGTTTTACATTTGGAGCAGGAGACTCTTTGTTTGGTCTTTCTCTTCATGATGTGCTTTTATTCTTAAAGGTTCTTCAGTTATTAAGATCAAAACCAATTTTATTTCATCTGATTGTGACAGTTTAGGTCAAATTAAATTTGTGAACACAGTTTGGTGTTTTAACAGGAAAAAAAACAGATTTTGTACTGAAAATTATGCTTTTTTAACAGCTTAGACTTCAACTTTAGTGAAAATGAAAACTCAAGCCTCTGAATGAGAAAACATTCCTGGTTTAAATCTTTTGCAAGTATTGAGCAGAAATGTTGAAGGATTTGAAACAAACTAACCTGATTAAAGAATTGAGACAAATTTATCCAAAACATTTAACGTAATAGAAAACATTTCAACTTGCTTGGGTGCATTTAACTAAATGACATTGAAAATATATTAATATGATCCAGGATTAAATTGAAAAAGATTCACCAATTTTGTATTAAAAGTTTCTGAATTTGTAGTTTTGCTGAACTATTGTTGAGCTTTTAACAAGATGCATTAAAACTGACTAGAATAATATTTGTAGTGTCAAAAGTGACTGAAGATCTAAACTGTAGATATTTGTTTCCTTTCAGAAAGTTGGAGCCATGATCCGCTCAGTGTTTGCTGTGCTTTGTTTCCTCCTGCTGCTCATCGGACCTCAGGCATTTGACATTTTGCCTGGAGGCTCTTTAAATCACCAGGAAATTACAGAGCAAGCGATTCTCAATGCAACTGTGCAGGCATGCCGCTCTCGAGCCCTGACTGAAGGAACGAACTTCAACTTCCCGGTAGGAATACACTCCTGTTGCATCATTCTTTCTAGAAACTGGCTCCTTTCAGTCTTGGTGACACTGTGTGTTTTCAGGCTCAGCCTTTCACTGCACAAGGCGTTGCTGCTGCCTGCGGCGCCTCGCAGTCATCGAAGGCTTTCCATCAGGCCATCACATCCATCAAGCGGAGGAACATCAGAGTGGACATCCGCTACCTCTTCAAAGCGAGCTTCCACTTTGACGATGAGGAGTTCGTTCAGGGAAGGAGGATCATCACAGAGGGATTGGTTGCTGTCAAAGCCGACAACAGGATGGGGAATTATGAGACCGCAAGGCAGAAACTGGGAGAGATCATGCATCCTTTGCAAGTATTCAACATAATTTGTACTTTTTTGTTTTAAAGATTGAAATCTTTGTGGATTGACTGGTAATTCTTCTCTTATCAATGTTGAAGGATTTCTACAGTCACAGCAACTGGGTGGAGCTGGGAAACACACTCCCGAACTCCAATCTGATTAAAACAGAAGCCAGCATTGGCAACATCGCAGGTAAAGATGGCATGAGCTGATGGCTCTGCAGACTGCCGTTTGGATGAAATGGAGTAAAACCATCTGATCTAATGTGGTTTTAGATGAAAGCAGAGTCACCTGTCGCAACTGTGTCGGCGACGACTGCACCAACAACATCCTGGAGGACGTCATCGCTGGACAGATCCTGACCTCTGGCTACTTTGGGCTCGTACCTGTGGTCTCAACCAAGCCACCTGGTAAAGTCACATCTCTTACAATAACCTTTGGAAAATTTATTCTTCTTCTTGAATACAGCTTTGTCAGTAACACATTACAGATATTCATCCTGTTCAAGTTTATGAGTAACTATTTCCTTGCAGCAGTTCTCTGACTCAACGATCCAGCTGTTTAAACTAGATTTAAAGGCATTCAGTGCTTTAGCTGTTTTGCAGTCTATGGCTTCTGTTTTCTGACATGATGTTCAAATTATTTATTCATTTATTATTATTTTTTTTTGTGATGCCTGTAAAACAAACCCACCTGTGTAAAAAATACTCAAACTTTTGTTTAATCAAAGGAAAGTGCAGTCATGGAGGATCGTTTGATCGAACTAGTAAGATCGAGCCGACCGGTGGGATTAACAAGGATTCCTTTCAATCCAGCCACGGACATCTCCACACGAAAGCCGCAAATCTGGCAGTGGCTGCAACCAGCCAGCTTCTGGACGACATCCGACTGGCAGCTGGAGACCTCCCCTTCCTGCAGTACGTTTGGTTAAACTGCACAGCAATGGGTTTTTATTCATTTTGCTTCATTTTGTTCCATTTTGCTTTGGAAATTTTAGGATGGTGGGGATCTCTCGAGGATCCAGCAAAGCTCTTTGTTTTGTCACTGACACCTCAAAGAGCATGAGCGACGACATTGCCGTGGTGAAGACCGTCACATCCACCATCATCGACATCGAGGCGGGAACAGAGAACGAACCGTCCGTTTACATCCTCATCCCGTTCAGCGACCCAGGTACGGCTTCAGCTTCTCCACATCTAAACACATTTTCTGTCTGAGGAGGAAGAAAACTAAATAAGTATTTGTTTTATTTGCCAAGGATTTGGGCCAGTGATTCGTACAACGGATGCAACACTTTTCAAGGACATTGTGAACCATCTAACAACTAATGGTGGAGGAGATGATGAGGAAATGAGTCTTTCAGGGCTGCAGGTAATGCTCTCTCTCTCTCTCTCTCTCTCCAACTGTCTTTAAAACCTCAGTTTTTAATGAAGCTGATCTTTACTATATGGATGCATCATCTTCCAGCTGGCATTAACCAGTGCTCCGTTCAACTCTGAGATATTTCTCTTCACGGATGCTCCTGCTAAAGACAAAGATTTGAAGAACACGGTGATTGCGCTCATAGAGCGGACCAAAACAGTGGTGAGTGTTTGCATGCATATTTTTATAGAGCCTTGCACAGAGCATATATCTCAAACCTTTTTACATTTTGTCACAGAAACTTAAAGTTTTACTGGAATTTTGTGTTTGTATCCACCCCCTTTACTCTGATGCATCAAAATGCAATCAAATGCAATTGGTAGACCAGTGTAGTTGAAATCTGGCGATTCTGTGCAAACCTTTGACTTTTTTCAGAGAACTAAAAGTGTCTTAATGACAAAGAGAGACGCCAAACATGTTCATAGTTGAAAGCAGGTTTGTTTAGAAACTATTTTAGATGATTGTGCAGATATTTTTTCATCTCTTGTGTGGGATAATTTAGTTTTTTTCTTCCCTAAGGTAAACACACACAGTTTAAGTTAAACTGTTTTTTTCTTATTTCAGGTCAACTTCATGATTACAGACTCGGTCGTTACTAATCGTCGCAGGAGAAGAAGAAACAGCAACCAAATGCAGACGAGATTAATCTCAGAGTCTGACGCTCAGCTGTACAGAGACCTGGCTCAGGCGTCGGGCGGTCAGGCCATCGAAGTGACGAAGGCCGAACTTCCTGTGGCTGCAGCAACCATAGTCCAGTCTGTCAGCTCAATGGTAATGTCAGCCCAGGTCTAAATGTGTTTTTGTAAAAGCCTCCTGGTGTGACCTCTCACTGCGATCCGTTAGGTGACCCTTCTGCAGGCGTCCAGGAACCCGGGACAAACCGACAGTTTCACCTTTATTGTTGACGAAACTGTTATAAACCCGACAATTTATATCACCGGCAGGTCCATCACTTTCACGCTCACAAGCCCCACAGGTAATACCACCGCCTGCTTACGTTTGAGCCAACACAACGTTTTGTTTCGGTTTTTCAAAATATAACGCTTGCAAAAATATCTTTGCAAGCACCGAAAGAATAATTTATTAATTTCAAAATGTAATAATTAGGATTATAAAGGTAACTTGTGTTGCAACTTTGACCTGCAGTGTGCTGATTACTTTCTTCCCCCAGGTGTAACTCAGCAAAGCACCGACTCTACAGGCTCATTGATCACTTCTTCAGAGACTGTGGGAAACTTCATAACGGTGCGGTTGCAAAAGCAAGTTGGAAACTGGGCAATAAGAATGGTGTCAAATAAGCCCTACACCCTGAGAGTCGTTGGTGAGATTCAACATTTATACTAACTTCGCATCTGATTTTATTTGGGGCAATTATTATGAAAGCAACTTATTTATAATAGTCATTTTTTCAAAAATAAATAAATAAATAAATAAACTTCTGTACAACAGAACCCAAATGTTACTTTAACACTCACTATTTTCTGTCTTTCTTAAGTATTTTTCTTTTCTGCAATGAATATCCACAATACTGCAAATAATGCAATGTGTGGAACCTCCATTTGCAGAAATGCTCCAGGGATTTCTTGGTCAATATAAGCCTTTATCGTCCCACAGGAGGAAAATTCAGCAGATTTACAGGCACCATCAAAACAAAAGTGCATTATTACTGATGTACAGAAATGACAGGACAGGTTTTACAAATGTTTCACTAAAAAAGGCTTTTTTTTTTAAATGTGCAAAAATGTAAAGAAAAAATTTGAAACGACAGTCTGAGCATCACAGTCTAACTTTAACTTTGCTGTAAATTCACAAAGAGGTGATGATAAGGCAAAACTATCAGTTTTTTCTTTTTCTAATAAAATTAGTTATAGTTACAGCAATTTCAAACTTCAAATAGTTTATTTAACTCAGTGGTTTATGCATATATAATAACACCTCTCAGCATTTTTAAAACATTTGCTATTTCTTTCACTGCTTACAATTTTTCTTTTGTTCCTCCACTTAAATTGTTCTGCGACTTCAACATTTGTCTCTTTCAGTAGGAGAAAATGACCAAAACTGACAAGGAAACACTTTTAATCACACTTATTGCATAACCTCAGCCTGCAACTTAATAAACCACAATAGTAGAGATGAATGAGTTAAACTTTAACTCATCTACTAGTTTTGCTAAATTATTTAAAAGCAATAAAATGCTTATTAGATTTTTGTATTTGCAGGTGAGAGCTCTGTTGACTTCCTGTTTGACTTTGTGGAGCCGTCTCAGGGTCCTTTCGGTGGATTCGATGCTCTCGACACGCGTCCCAGAGCAGGTCAACACCTGCTGAATTAAACTTTAACCGACATTAGGTCAGCAGAAATCACTCTGTTTTGTTCTTCAAAGGCTTCAATGGCAGTTTGCTGGTGACCATATCAGGAAGTGACTCTGCTGCTGTGACAGAAGTTGCTCTGGTGGAGTCGACGAAGGGGTCGGAGGAGACAGTGGGAGTTGTTGTGCCGCAGGGCAGCGGGGACTTTTTAGTGCAGGTCGATGTGATGCCGACGGTGGAGTTTGTAGTGAGAGTAAAGGGGAGAGTTCAAGGTTCTGCTACTGACTTTCAGAGACAGTCGCCCACCAACTTCAGAGCTTCTAACCTGACTCTCTCAGTGAGTAAAAGTTAACAATAAAAGTTGAGACCAAAAACCTGATAAATAAAGAAAAGCTGACATTTGAACTCTTTCATTCAGGCCGACCCAGACAGCATCTTGGTTGCAGGAACAATGACCTCTGTGCCCTTCACTGTGGCCTCAACTAGATCCGATGAAAACATAACCATCCGAGCCACCAACTCGAGAAGTCTTGACTCCACGTTTCCGTCCGTTTTATTGGTGGAAAGTGGGAACAGCACTAATGGCACGGTGACCCTGCTGGCTCCGCTCAGCATCCCGTCTGGTTCCGACGTCATCCTGACCATCGTGGCCGAGACGCCGGATGGAAGCGACACCAACTACATTGTGCTGCGATTCTCTATAGTGAACTCGGTAATAACGGCACAATTAAGTCCTTCAAAGTAAATATATTCAGCAAGTCAAATGTTTACAGGTTCTCTGGGAATATCTAGATTTAAACTTTCTGCAGATTGACTTGGTCTGAAATGGAAATTTCCACACTGGAAAAGTGGAAACTTTGCATATAATGGTTGCATTGGTGTTTTTAACTTTCTCCAATCTGTGTGGTCTGAAATTTTAACCTGTAAACCCTCTGAAAGATTTTCATCATTTCACATTTTTCTTAGACATTTGATGGCAAGAAAAGTTATGTTGTTTGTATAATACTATAAATATTATTATACTAAAAATAAAAATTATGCTTGGGTATCTAACTCATGATTAGGACTGGGTAAAACTTCAACACAGTATTCCATGGTTCTTTTTGACAGTGTTTGAATTTTCATCTGTTTTAATTTGCATTTTCAAGTTTATTTGGGTTCATTAAATGGTGCAACAGTAACACTGAACAAGACTCAATAATGTTACCATCCCTACTCATGTACAGACTGTTACTAAACCCTTTGTGCAGTTATTAGCTCATATATAATCAAAAATGTAATTTTTCTTTTTTTTCCCCCACAGATAAATGATTTCACCCAACCAGAGTGTCAGCTTGTCAGCATGCAGTCCAGCTGTGCTGAAAACTGCAGCCTGTCTGTTTGGGCCGCCTCCATCAGAGTGACCGACGGCGACAGCGGGGCGGGCGTCCAACGCGTCAGCCTCATACAGGGCACCGGCGTCTTCAACACCAACCTGGAGGCCGGAAACCAGAACGTAACGCTGGTGTCCTACGTCGCCTCCTGCTGTGCGCCGGTCATGCAGCTGCTGGTTGTGGACCGGGTCGGCAACGTCGGCACGTGTCAGTTCACTGCCAGGGTCTCCGGGTCCGGCATGGCCTCGATGTCTTTCTTCCTGTGTCTCATCATGATGGGGTTCGGACAACTTTTACTGAGTGAATTCATGAACTGAATGATTCTGTTGTCTAACTTATCAACCACTGTGACAAAGCTAAACCATCTGGAAAGAGATTCAGGAATTTAAAATGCAATTACTTTCTTTTTTTATTTATATTTGCACTGATATTTTTATTAGGGATGCACTGACAGAAATATTTGGATAATCGATATCCAATAATCATGCTGCAATGGCTGGTAACCAATATTTACTGATATTATATATTTTTCTCTCCAGTTTCGATAAAAAAACGTAAGAAGCAAACTTTTTGGTTGAATGAAATCAACTTTGACTTTAACAGGGTCATGAATAATTTTGTGAAAAACTAATTAAATTACTGTTTTATGCTCAGTGTGGCACTAAATACATATTTTTGTTTGTATTAAAAAGCAAATGAAGTTGTAAATAGGGTAAAAAGAGCAAACGCTCAAGAATGGTGATGTTACTTGAATTGTGAGACCTTGTTATAATAAATTATCCAAGATATTTGTCTTTTTTTATAGCAGAGATGAATGAATGCGCTGTTAGTCTATGTTTACGCCATACATTGTGAAATTTAGTTGATAAAAGGTGCAACACTGAAAAAAATGAAGGATCCCATGTTTTAAAAAAAACAGATTTTATTGTGGTTATGTGTCTATTTTTACTCTTTTACAGAACACAAACATGATTTTCTTTTGACATAAATTTGATATTTTATCACTTGTTTTCTTTAGTCACTATTTACATTTTGAAATGTATTCAGAGGTCTGGTAATATCTGACCATCTGGAACATGTGTACGCTCTTTTCATGGTGAACTTTTTCCTTTTGCTCTCTTTACTTATTTTTATTTTGTGGGGGAAGAATGAAAGAATGAAAAGCCAAGGACCCCGAGCCGCTGCGTACACATGCGCTGCCATCTTTTTCCATTAAACTCTGTAAACATTGCTAACTTTTTTTCCTCATCTGACTTGTCTATGTCCTTCAATTGCACAGTCCCACAGCTCCACAGTTTTCAGTCCATTCAAATCAATAAAGCTATGACTTCACAAATGCATTGCCTTTGCCATTACAGTACTTTCTTTTCAAACTCGGATTACAATTTTGCAGAAATGGCCACAAAGCCTCTGAGTTTGGTGGAATTTGATTATTTAACAAATGATTTGGATTATTTAACAACATATCCACGGAGGAAAAATGGCCGAAGTTGTCAGAAAGGTGATTTCTTGCTAGTGCAGTGGAAATGCATTTCTATAATAACAGTGATTCTGAAACTCAGACCAGTTCTTTAACTGATGTGTTCACATGCACATCAGGCAGTACCATTGGCGTACTGGGAAAGCTTATTCTCCAAGTCGCAGATCCGCTTCTCCTGAGACAAAACTGTGGCCTTCAGATTCTGAATCTCCTCCAGTAGCCTCTCAAGCAGCTGAGGCTGGACAGGAGGAAACAGGAAGGAAGGGAAAAAAGGAAAACAGAAAGTGATGAAAGGGGGGAGAATGATAAAGAAAGAAGGGAAAAAAAGGTCAAGGGTAGTGAGAAACTGAACCAAAACAGAGATGGGTGCTTTGAAGGGAAAAGTTGTGCACAATAAGAAAAAGGTTCAACAGAGAGGGAAATTTTTGAAAAGCCATATAAAAGTAAACATTTATTTAGATGAAGTTCAAGCAAATACTGCTAATGAATCCCAATCATTTCTGTGAAATGATAACCAATCAGCAGGTCGAGCTTTGGATGCTCAACGCGTCCAAAACTTACAGGCAAGCTGTTGGTGTCCAGGGCGGACATGCTGCGTCTGGTGGTGGGTCTGGAGTCCAGCACGTTCTTCTTCGCCGCTTTGAGCTCTCGACTCTTCGGCGGCACGTAGCCGTCCCTCATGGAGATGAGGATGGGATCTTCGTCACGGCCGTCCAGCCACTCTTCAGGCTCCATGGCGGGATCAGGCCCTGCTGTGTCAGGGTAAAGGTCATCCTGGAAGAGGTCCGACTGGCCCACACAAAGCCAAGCAAGAAGCAGAGAGGTGTTTTAGTCTGTTTTTGTTTTGAACAGTAAACTGCAGATTCCTGCTGTCACATTGTTTCCTACGTTGCCAATAAATGTGGGCAGAGTTACCAAAAGTTATTCTCAAGTAAAAGTATCACAACTTCAAAGTTTACTCAAGTAACTGATTAAGTTATCAATCATTTAATATTAAAAATGACATCATCATGACATCATCAGATGGACAAAATTAAACTTCAGTGGAAATTTTGGTATTTAATGGATGAAAAATGAGAATAATTCATGCAAATAGCAAAAAAGGGTTATGGTTAGGGTTACTTACTTTTCTAGGAACTGTCATGGTGATGGGCTCGCACTTTTTGTCAAGTAGCTTGTATAACCTGGGAAAGAATAAAGGAACGATAAACCGGAAAAGCAGAGCGATCCATCAGCCACAAAGTGTTTGTTTACACTTTGATTTCTATTTAAGGATGATTTATTTTCAACAATTTGCAGAAATGAGCGTTCATGATGTAACAGCATGCAAACAAAAAATTCTGAGTCTCAGCATGAGGAAAAAATGTTTCAGAATGAATAAAACCCTTTTTATTTATGTTAACTGTAAGTAACACAAACATGATAACAGAGAAGTGAGAAAACAGAGAAATAAAAGAGAAAACACCACCTTTAATTTAGTGCAGCCTGCACTAACCATTCTCTATATCAAATATTTTGAAAGTTGCATATTTTCACTTTTAAAAAAAGCGGCAGAGCAGCAGTCGTGAGTGTCTTACCGTGCGATCTCACATTTGGTGACGTCCACGCCTCTCTTTGGCATGAAGCCCATCCCTCTCTGCGGCTCTTTACTGCTGAAGGTGCTGAGGTAATGGACGTACGGCGGCTCCTCCGTGATCTCAAAGTAACGGATACTGCTGTCCCCCTGCACAAAAAACCATTTAAACTAAAACAACTCACTCTCCTGATCAGAGCCAGAAATATAGGACATATTTACAAAAGAAGCTGCATTCAGAGCTTTATATGTTGGATCAAACTAGAAGTTTCCATATGATTAGATTCATTTTATTATAAATAGGACCTTTTTCAGTTTATAGATGAACTGAAATGAGCTGAATTTAAAGAAATCTTATATGATTTAAAAGAATAAACCAGCTTACCTTCCCACACAAGTAGACCATGTTTGCGTCTGCGTCATAATACGGTAATAACACTCCGTTACTCGTGTCCAGCTCCAAAACTGCTATCGGCTCTTCAAAGTTTGTCTGAACAGAGTAAAAACAGCCAACATGTGAAACATGATCGGCTTGTCGTCCCAAAGGCAGTTGGAGATGTGTTGGTTACCGGATCCCAGAGGCCGAGCTCTCGCTGGCTCATCCGGGTGAATCCGGTGGTGAAAATGTTTCCGTCTCTAATGAAGATGGCTCTCATTGGTCGGATGCCTTCATGTGGAGCCAGACGTTCCTGTTAGAAAGAACATGGAAAGATGTGACAACAGAAACCTCTTCAAGAACAAAAATAAATCTGTATTAAACTCTGATTTTTTTATCCACATCAACAAAAAGTCTATATTTGTTTATCTATGTAAGGATTTATCAGATTTCTGTCTCGTTAGAAACAATCTTAGCAGAAGGAGGAGATCCCAGTAGATTTTCATAGGACAATAAAGGCTGTTTCTATTCTATTCTATTCTATTCTATTCTATTCTATTCTATTCTTTTCTATTCTATTCTAGTAAACTTGTCACTGTGGCACATTCTACTCCAAAATTAATTCTGGTAATGTTTGACACGTTTTGTTGATCAAAAATAATAATTCTCACTCTATTAACATACACCAAACTGTGTTGGTCACATGAAATCCCAACCAAACACATCAAAGTTTGTGGCTGTTAGATGGCAAAATGTAAAAAAGTTTAACCTGTTGGTACTTGCTCACTCACCGCCACCACTTCCCTCTTTCGGGGGTCACAGACACGCAGGCGTCGGTCCTTACAGGTGGTGCAAAACAAGCTGCCGTTTCGGTTCCAGCTGACGCTGTAGATGAGATCCGGATGGTCGTCCATGGATATGAGAGGTTCGCCTGTTCCCACGTTCCAGATTATTATCAGATTGTCACTGCCTGAAGCAGACAGAGACAGAAAAGAAAGATTTTAGTCATCTTCAAAACGCCTTTTCTGGTTCAAGCCCATTACTGCGACTCAGAGCTGGGCGGTAACTATTTACTCCATTATATTTACTTCAGTAGTTTTTTTGAAAATATTAACTTTTAGGAGTATTTTTACGACACTGTGCTTTTTTATTTTTAGAGGAGTAATTTTATTTTGAAGCATTGTTACTCTCTCTTGAGTAAAATGTCTGGATTCTGAATGAAAAACAAACATTTAAAGATTTACCTGCAGTTTTTGTAAAAGTTTCATAAGATTTTTATTGAGAGAAACTCATTTGGAAAAAAAATATTTTGCCTGATTTTGTATTTTATTGTCATTTTGGTCCTTAAAATGCCCAAATTTTATTTCTACAATTTATTTATTACAAATTTTCATTTGTAATTTTAATTTGAAGCACTGCTACTCTTATTTGAGTGAAGTTTTCGGGCCTCTGCTCACGTCTGCTGCCTAATGAAGATCTGTGTCCATGTTGGCGAAACCCACCGGCAGTGAGGAGGATGTTGCGTGTGGTGGGGTGCCAGCTGACGATGCCGACCCGTTTGGAGTGACCCTCCAGCACCACGATGGGATCGGACAGGGGGCGGGTCAGGGAGTGATCTGGGATTTGCCAAACCTGGAAAAGAAAGAGAGAAATTTTGTTCTCGCTGTGATCTGCAAAGTTAGCACATAGAAACCCAAATATCCTAAAAAACTGTTTCTACCGGTTTTTAATTTCCACAGGGACGTTGTGCTTTTTTGAGATTTTTTATTTAAGTATTCAATCTTTTCTTGTCTTTCTGAGGAGAAATAGTTTTTTACAACCATTCCTTTTTGTTTTGGATGCTGTGTAACTTTTATTTAATTTGAAGTGAATTACAGATAAATCAATATATAATCACACAGATAAAACATTAAGAATTAAATAGTTTATCATGCCAAAAATATAAACATATGAGATTTTTTGGGTTGTTTTTTTTTAACTAAAAGGTTTTATTTTTCAGCTAAATTCAGCAAACAGCCCCACTGTAATTGATTTCTAAATTTCTAGGTAAAAATGATGATTATTTCTTTCTGCAGATTTAAACCATCAATAAAGTTACAGACACAAGTTAAAGCTTGTTGTCTCTTCCTCCTTAAAAGTTCATTTTTAAATCTTTAGTGCATTAAAATATCTTCACATTAAATCAATTATGTTCAAACTTTTTGACAAACGGGTCAAAATCTTCAAGTTTAAAAGTAAGGGTGGAAATTTATTTATCATTTATTTTATTCTTATCGCGATAAAACTTTTATTCACTGATTAAAGAATAGAGATTATTTATTGTCGAATCAAAACTGTCCACATTGTCAGTTTCATTTTTATTTCCACTGTTTGATCAATAAAAGCATCAAT